TTTATTTCTACGTTTATCAAATTCGCGATTTTAATTGGTCAATCAACAAATAGCATGGGTTAAAATTTTGTGTTCCCAGAACGGTCTCTCCTGCTAGTCTATTGGACTCTGGTCCAATTATAAGGGGTAACCAACCATATTTCAGCATTTAAATTAACAATGACAAATAAAAATCAATTTTTTCACATCATCACCTTTTATAGAACAAGAAAGATTGAATATTTTTTATGTTGACTTTCTATAGCATGGTGGACATTCGAATGTTGCACCAATTTTTTATGCCGTGTAACGTAAATTTTAAAGTGCGCTCAATTAAAATGGGTATACATTGATATGTAACACATACTGTAAATTTACAGAGATATTCTTTGACGTTTTTTTAACTTAATTCCAGCTGCATCCATCGGCATCCGCAATTTTAACATACTTTACTTGGTACTAACATTTCCAATATGGTATTATGTGGCAGATGTGTAGTTTGCAATGAAATTAAACTCAAAGTATAGAAAAATTACAGAATCAAGTAAAAATAAAGCAGAAGCTGGGGGATATAACAATTTAAGTGTTAATGATTTAATTTGTAATATATTTTATAATAGATGTATCAATTATGATTCTCATATTAAACCTAATAAAAAATCTAATGATGATAATTTGTTTAAAACAAATGTACAAAGTTCTTCATCTTCAAAATTAGCAGAATTAGAAGCACAAGTTGAAGAACTCCAACAACATATAACAATATTATCAACTGAATTGGAGAAATATAACAAGGCCTGTTGATACAAACAATTTAATTGGTAAATTTTTTTTTTATCCATATCATATCATTAATGATGGTTAAAGATATTTAGAATTGCAATTTTTGAGATTAATTATTAATTATTTTTATTTTTATTTGTAGATATTGTTGAATTTTCTAAATATTTTAATTCTCAAATTAAAAGACTTACTACAGTTCTTTATAATTATCAACACAAAGAGAAAAAAATGCCAATAAATGAATGGATCCTGATTTATTTGAAGAAATGCTTAAAGAAAAAGACCCAAACCTTGATGGTTTTTCAATATGTTATTCCAAAGTATGGATACAATTAAAAGTTTAAGATTAAAAATAATGATATTATGTTATCAATAGCAGGCTTAAGAAATAAACAATTTAGTTTGGTAAAGAATAAAATTGCTTTGCATATGGTTAATACAGGAACATCATCATCTGGACTAGATACTTTGGCAAACATAGGAATTACTTCTACTTATAAAACAGCAATTAGGGAAAAAACAAAAAATTTAGAGTCTCATCAAATGAATGTATGTACTATTATTATTAATAATTTTATTATATTATTTTATATTAAAAGTTTCAATATTATTAATTTAATCTCTTTTTTATATCTACTATTAAATTATAAGATTGATTCACTTACTATATATTTGGTTGATGATTACCATGACATACATCAAAAAGATTACCCAATACTACATCCTTATCTGATGTTGCACATATGGCTACAACTATGATTCATACACCAAGACTATAGATGCTGGTCGCAATTCTTGGTGATGGTTGCAACCATATTTGCAACATATAAAATGGTTTGCAACACCTGGTTGCAACCACTTTGGTTTCCTTTTTTGGATTGCGACATGGAACACTAACCAAGGCTTTCTCCAATACCTTATTTATCTTCATTTTTCAATGATAATCCTAATAATGTGGATGCTGAATTACTTAGCTGGGCTTTAAAATATGATTATATCTTACATTTTGGGATTAGTTATATGGAACAAAGTTCTAAATGGTTTTGTATACCAGATGGTTCAAAGCTCCCTGAAAGTGACTTATCAATTCACTTATGTTACATACTTATGATATTGATTTACAAAATAATCTACATGAAAATAGGAAAATGGATACTGTAAAACTTGTTGATTTTGTTTCCCAAGATTT